TGTTTTAGTTTTTTTTAAGGTATTTTTCTGCAAATTATATGAACTTGTACTTTCTGTATTACTGAACAAAGATTGATTTCTCCATGAATTTGATGACCTCATCAATAGCTTTCTCTACTGAATCCCAATTTCCTTCATCCTCCATTCATATTTTTACCATTATTGGAAGAATTTAATTCTTCCTCTATTTCATAATAATCCAAATCATTTTAAAGTGATTCTACCGTTGAATTCTTTTCTAAATCATTAGCTTTCTTCATTGATCCATTCTTTTAAATCATCTAAAGTGAGAGGATTTAGTGGATCAACTTTAAGCGCAAGTTTTAGGCTTTCGTTCAGATTCTGCAATCCTTGTTTGTTTGTTTGCAAATTCAACGAATTAAGAGCTTAGTCCAGTTTTTCAATAAAAAATAATAATTTTTGACGTAAACTGAAAGAATTTCTTTCCCTTTTTCTTCCAGTTTCGTTCAGATTCTGCAATCCTTGTTTGTTAATTTGCAAATTCAACAAATTAGGAGATTCGTCCATATTTTTTTTTCAAAAATCTCTAATTTCTGACGTAACGTGAAAGAATTTCTTTCCTTTTTTTCTTCCAGTTGAAGTTTCTTCTTTGCGGCTCATTTGAGAAAATGACTAACAATTATCTGCAAAGAAAAGAAAAATATTAGAATGTAGCTTATTCCTACATCTAAATGGCAGCTCTGAAAAGTTCGGATATGATGATGATCAAATATGACTTCAACTTTATCTCCCCCACTCTCTTTCGTTCGCTGTCTCTTTTTTTTAAACTGCTGCACTTCAGATATTAACACATCAATATCTGTTCGGAAACTTTCAGAAGGTCTCCCAATTCAATTCTGCGTCTCTTTGGAGAAAAGGCACAAATCAAGGACAACAACACGCTGAGTGCTTTTGACTGCATAATCCCCGACGACTTTTCAGTTGATGGCCGTGTTTATCAACGGGTTTCATATCGTTAATTTGATTACTGGGAGACCGTGCCTTGTCCCAAACGTGTTGTGTTGACCTCCGGGGCAGTCGTATCCGGCCTCTTCGTCCGTCATCTTGCGCTTCTCCCACGAAAAACATTTCACTGCGACTGCGCAAAATGGATCGATTGTAAGGACCGCCATTTACAATGCAACGTGGAGAGAGAGAGAAAAAAAAAAGAAAGGACGAGAACAAAAAGAGAACAAAACAAATTTAAAACGATTACTCTTGCTATCTTGAGAAATATCACCGGGTTTTTTTTTAAGTCAAAAATGGAAAAGAAAAGAGGTTAGAATAAAAAGATATAAAAAAAGAGGTTGAATCAATATTGAACAATTTATGAGTAAATGTAGCACATATTCAAACACATATCACGGGTTTTGCGTTTTCAAGTTGTCCTCTATGGAGTTCTAATTGTCAACCGGGAGGGTTTGTGGTATTTATGGGACAAAGGGTCAAGGAAGAAGAAATCAACACGGGGATTACAACCACATATCAAGTCCGTTGAATAAGTTAAAGTGTGCCAACATATTGCTCGGGTAACGCTTCTCATAAAATATTGATTCGATTTGATTGTACATGAAAGAAAGAAAAGACCGCGGGAAGAAAATCAACCACAAATCCTATGAATAAAAGACATTCTTGAGCAACGCAAACAATTCGTTCAATAATAATAATAATAATAAAGTCGACTTCATTTAAACCCGATATGCAAAAGTAAATGAATTTATAACAAGTACATAACAGTTGCTATTGCCAAAAATTGTAAGCAGTATCGTGGATTAATGGATAATGGCTGGCCGTGAGAAATCGGAGAGCCGAGTTCGAATTCCAGTCGGGTTCGTTACATTCATTTACGCGCAAATACCATTGGGAAAGTTATGAATCCATCTCTTCTCCCCCAGCTATGGGTTGAATAGTTGGACAGACTGGGTTCTATAGCCTTGGTTGGCAACCAGTCTACCGCAAATAGAAATGGCAACTTACGTAGGAAAATCTTCTGCCAAGTCTGTCATAAATTGTAAGAGACATAATCGTTCAAGTGCATATCACTTAACTGAATGAAACCAAGTTCAAAATTCGGCCGGAGCTGAGGCACTAATACCCTTGGATCTTTTATTGATTCATTTTTTTTACGGCTTATCAACCCTTTACAGGCTATTTAAAGCCAGAAAATATTTTTAGATTACAAGAATTTTCTTCGTTGTTTTAAGATAACAATGGTTTTAGTGATACAAGTCCTACTAATTAACCCATAGCTGGGGAGAAGAGATGGATTCATCTCTTTCCCAAGGGTATTTGCGTGTAAGTGTATATAAAGAACCCAACTTGAATTGGAACTCGGCTCTCCAATTAACAATTCCGAGCCAGTATCTATTTCATCACACGCACATGCAAACTTACAGCTCTTGGTATTCCCAAGAGGTCACCCATCTAGTTATGGACCAAAATCGACTCTGCTTAACTTCGGTGTTCGTACAAGAACCAGTGTTTCAACGTGATGTGGCTGAAAGCCTAATGGCGTTGGATATGACATCAATCTATCTCTTCTCTCTACCGCCACCACTGATGGGTAAATTAGTTAAGCGAATAAGACAAAATATCTTAAGGCGAATAAGACAACATATATTAAGGCGAATAAGGCAACATATAGTAAGGCAAATGAGGCTGCATATTAATCAGGAAATATTTTTCATAAAATGTTAATTCTCCCCACTATCACGAAATATGAGTATAAAAAAAAGAGTAAGGCGAATAAGATAACATACAGTAAGGCGAATTAAGCAGTATATATTAAGGCGAATTAAGCAGTATATATTAAGGCGAATTAAGCAGTATATATTAAGGCGAATTAAGCAGTATATATTAAGGCGGACGAAGCAGTATATATTAAGGCGAATTAAGCAGTATATATTAAGGCGGACGAAGCAGTATATTGTTTGGGAAATGGTTCTCCAATCACGAACTATGAGTAAAAAAAAGTATGTCGGTTGAGATAATATTTAGTAAAGCGGATGAGACAACACATATGAAGGCGAAAAATATAACATATAAATAGGATAATTGAGGCAACATATATTAATAGGAATGAGGCAGCATATTTCTCAGGAAAGGTTTCTCATGATTTATTTATTCTCCAGCACAATCACGAACTCAGTCAGTTATGTGTCATGCGCAATACACGCGTAGGCGATCATTTATCTTTCGATATATGACTGACGAGTCAGATTTTTTCCGCAGAAGGTTGCCATTTCTTTCTGCAGTAGACCAGTTGCCATCCAAGGCTATAGAATCCGGTCTGTCCTGCTATTTACCTATAGCTGGCAGGAGGAGAAGAGGATTCATACCTTTCACAAGGGTATTAGCACGTAAGTGAATGTAATGGATTCGAATGGAATTCGAACTCGGCTCTCTGATTCAGTTATGTGCCATGCGTGATACACGCTTAGGCGATCATGTGTTTTTCGATACATGACTGACGAAGCAGATTTTTCCCAGTAGTAGGTTGCCATTTCTTTCTGCGGTAGACCAGTTGCCATCCAAGGCTATAGAACCCGATCTGTCCTGCTATTTATCCATAGCTGGAGGTAGAAGACGATGATTCATACCTTTTCCCAAGGGTATTAGCACGTAAGTGAATGTAATGGATTCGACTGGAATTCAAACTTGGCTCTCCGATTCCTCAATCCGAGCCGCTATCCATTACTCCACCGTAAGGCGAATGAGGCAAAATATATTAAGGCGAATGAGACAAAATATATTAAGGCGGGTGAGTCAGCATATTGCTTTCTGTTAAATATTGATGCGATATGTGCTTTTATTCGGGAAGTGGCATCCATAAGAAATACCACCACCAATCACGCCATTAAAAATATTTATAAGCAACGCAAGTATTTCGCGCAAAAAACAACAATAATAATAATAATAATAATAAATCGACTGCATTTGGTCCCAGTCTGTAAAATACTAGCACTTTGATATCGAAATCTCAAAATGTGGCACATGAGGACTTCAAAAATTCCATTTGTATTTGGAGCCATTGGGTTGATTGGAAAAGATACTAGTACTCATTGAAGAGATTCCTGGTAGCCCAAGCTTTTAAAAAATATATAAATAATTATACATAAAAGCACGGCCTACGCTTTACGTAGAGCTTTATGTAAAATGTGTGTTATCTTAGGTTGTTGTTTTTGTTTTGTTTTGTTTTTTCCTCAAAAATGCCCAGTGGAAAATATCATGATGCCATTTCTAACCTTATGTCTCTGGTTGCGTCCCAGAAAGAATTGAGTATACACCAGAAATCAAAAGAAATAATAATAATAATAATAATAATAATCAAAGCCAACTGCCCAGACATTGTTATTAGAGACCACAAACAAACAAAAAAGTACCTCCTTATTGATATGGCGCAGTCCCTGCTGACTGCAATGTATCTTTGAAGATATTCAAAAAGCTGTCAAAATACAAGGACCTTGAAATCGAAATCTCAAAAATGTGACACATGGGAACATCAACAATCCCTGTTGTAGTTGGAGCCCTGGGATTGGTTGGAAAAGATTTCAGTAGACTAATTGAAGGGATTCCTGGAAGTCCATGCCTCAAGGAGATAAAAGTACCGCCCACGCTTTACGAAGGGCTTTATCTATGTAATATATATTTTTTTTGTCAGTGGAAATTGTCATGATGCCATTCCTGACTTTAGGTCTCTGGGCCAAACCCCGAAAAATGAGTACACACCAGAAATCAAAGGAAATAATAATAATAATAATAATAATAATAATAATAATAATAATAATAATAATGAAATCGAAATCTAAAAAATGTGGCACATGGGAACATCAACCATCCCTGTTATTGTTGGAGCCCTGGGATTGGTTGGAAAAGATTCCAGTAGACTAATTGAAGGGATTCCTGGAAGTCCATGCCTCAAAGAAATACAAAAAATTGTTCTGACAAGTACAGCCCACACTTTACGAAGGGCTTTATCTATGTAAATTTTTTTTCTGTGGAAAGTGTCATGATGCTATTTCTAACCTTATGTCTCTGGGCGGGACCCGGAAAGAAATATGTACACGCCAGAAATCAAAGGAAATAATAATAATAATAATAATAATAATAATAATAATAATAATAATAATAAATGCATGTTCAAATTTCAGCCGAAGCTATTGCGTTCACTATACACTAATGACCTTGGAGGATGTATGAATCTCCCTCACTCCTATCTCATCGCCAAATATGAGCAAAATAGTAAGTCAAGTGTTTTCTATCCTTGCTAAAAATGCTGGAAAAATCAATGGCTGATTCTATCTCTCTAGAAATTGCTATTTGCCATGCTTTATTTTTACAAGAGTCAGATTTAACCAGAAATAAATTACAGCCGTCATATCTGGAATGGAACTTTTCCAATCTTGATCGAGTTCAAAATTGTTTACGCATTCTTGTGGGGAATGACTAATTTCCCAGTTTACAGCCTTTTTTTCCACACACAACCATTCCTATTCTATCGTTATTCCCTTGGAATAAATATTCAAATAAGTTCCATTCAATAATTCTACAAGTTCAGACCTTTACAACTTAAGACATGTCATGGAAATTCCTCAAGGACGAATCTCACCCTTATTTCCTTCCGTATTGAGTATTTTTCTTCCGAGAATTGGCATTTTGTGGAACAGACTCTCAGGTCGATGCTTCCCTGATGTATGTAAATATTCTCAGATAAAGTGTATCTGTAGAGGGAGACAAAATGAATAAAAAGAGACAAGAGGAAAAACTCTACTTAGCCGACGCGTTTCGTTCTCTGAGGGACTTTATCAAGGCAATGTAGGATTTATTTTGTTGCACGTGTTTATATACAAAAGCAAGAATGTCATTGGTTTATCAAAGCTTCATTAATATCCATCAGGCGGTTGAATTGAAAGGTCAGTGAAAACTAGTGGAGGACACAAAGTGCCATAATTATAGTCTGGAAGAAAGTAAATGAATATTCAAGAAATCTATACTTGAACATTCATGAGCAGTAAGGTTGGTTTATCAATTTTTAAGATATATATATATATATATATATATATATATATATATATATATATATATATATATACAGATGCCTGTGTGTGTGCCTGTATATGTGTATGCTATTTATGCACGTCCACATTTCTGCGGAATTTAGGACATGAGATTTGCCTTTTGTCTTTTTGAGGGGAATAGGAGGTAGACTTGCTTCTGATTTTATTAATCTGAGCCACACCTGATTCCTCGATAGTGTTTGAGTCACACTTTACAGATATTACTCTTTGACAGTCCTCTGCCAGTTTTTGCAGAATCAATCCTTGTTCGTTCTCAAGCTTGGTCAGTACCAGTCGTCTGACTTCGGCGTCTTCTGCAGATACTAGGCCTTGTGCGAAAATTAAGCACTTAAAATCATCGGCAGTCAGTTCGGCTAGTTTAAAATCATTACAGAGCTTGTTTACCGATGCTGCAAACGTTAGAAAATCTTGCTGGTTGTCTTTGTGTTCAGGCATTTCCAACGATGGTGGAACAAGGTTGTGTTAGGACCGAATAGTTCCGATAGGAGCTTAATAGTCTCTGAAAAATCCAATATAAATATAGGCCTGGAAGAGTCTATTGTGTAGGTAGTTTCCGGTCTCACAATAATATATATAACAGATGTCTGTGTGCGTGCCTGTATGTGTGTATGCTATTTATGCACGTCCACATTTCTCGACCGATTTCGATTAAATTGTACATACATGTTGCAAATTTACCAAAAGAGTTCAAGACCAACTTTTCAGTCTCCAGACGGATTTGGCAAAAATATCGATAAAACTAAAGATACGTACGACTTTTTACAAAAAAACCAAGGCAAAGTTACACGGGAACAAATTTTTTACTGAATGACCTGATGTTCTTTGCACTTAATGCAAAACATCAGCTCATTTTACGTGGTTTATGTAGAGTGCTTCATAGTTTTACTTGACGCAGTTTGGCTTCACACAAAAAAATGAAAAAAAAAACTGTGAAAAAATCGGGTTTTTTCGTACTACTTGAAATAAAATCTTGAATAACTTCCGTATTTTTATCCAATTTTCATCAAAACTGTCGCCAGAAAAATTGCCATCATGCAAGAAATAAGTGTGGTTTTAGTCTTGCTCGCTTCCCCACATATAAGGAAAAAAACACGAAAAACTCTTAAAAAAGACCGTTTTTCGGACACAACTACCTGGTTTTTCGATCACAAATCCCTGGTTCTTCATCCGATGCTTTCCAAATTTGCCATGTAAATTACATATGACACACAAATTGCCTTGCGTGAATGTTTGGTTGAGATAATTTGAGTTAAGTAGGCGAAATCTGCGACAAACTCGGTCCAAAATCCATTTAGCCAAGAGTTTCTTCATATGATGCCATCCTAAACTGGCATTCGAACAACCTTTGATGCAAAGATTGTTTGAGAAGGATTAATGAAGCATTAAAATGAAAAAATTCCCGAAGAACATCTTATTAACACCA